CAGAAAGTCAGGAGTGAGTCTGACTAAAGTCATTTTCTCCAACTCAAAAACTCTACTTTCTAGAGTCTACATCTGCTACCCATCCACATGGAGAGCAGAGAAATAGGACTCGTGCATTCTGTCCCGTTCTAGTGGTCTTCTCTGACTTCTGGTCAAATGGTACCTGGTACTATAATTCAGAGTCTTTTGAGGATTCTGAGGTATGAATCAGGTTGGTTCTCAGTTTACCCCAATGACAACTCACGACTTTCATGTTTCTTGAGTTGATTTTGTCAGTTACCTTTCCTAAGCTTGCTTTGTGGCTCCCCAAATTTTCTTGCTGTTGTGTCCTCTCCTAAGCTCTCTGTGTTTGTGGTTTTATGTCTTTATAAGAAGTCTAATATAAATTTAGAATGATTCTAGGCAGGACTGAAATTAGAGAGGTGTGTGTGTGTTCTCTTAATCCAGAAAAAACGTTTCACTCAAATCTGTTACACTCCTTGGATGAGGAATGGTGTTATTTCTGACCCGTGTAGCCAGACACTGAATCCAGTGCTCTTCCTAAAATAAAAAAATTTAGTTACCAAGTGTGTGTATCCTGCCCTGCCTGCCCAATTACGCACATTCCAACTTGACTCACTGCCGTAATTTCCTGCTGGATACTCACTCTCAGCTTCATCTTACAAAGGAGGAAGCAGGAGTCCTTCTGAATACAAGTAGCATGGTTTTCACAATAGTAATCTCAAATTGCCCTCATTCCTTAATGCTTCCCAGTGGGATGAAAGTACATAAGCTGCAGGATGAGCTTTCAGGAATCTGAGTACAAAGGCTGTTGAGCTCAGCTCCAAGCCGTGACAAAGGAAGTGAGGAACTGCTAGTTTCCTGTGTAGGCAGCCTAGCCTAGTAATGCCTATCTCTTACCATCTCCTTCTTTTCTCCAGACGTCTGCCCCTATGACCTTCTCCCATCACCTTACCTTCTTATTGCTTTGGTAGCATTTCCAGGTCTCGGCCACCCTGAATCTCCTCCAAGTGCTCCTGGATTCTGATTAAAGGCACCCAGTTCTAAGGGCTTTACGCGTGCTAACCCATCTCATCGTCACAACAGCCCCACTGCTCTTCCTGTTAACAGAGGAGACTATGGTGCAGAGAGGTCAAGTAGTTGATCACGGTGGCACAAATTTGAACCTGAGCGTCTAACTCCAGAGTGCGTCCTCTTTTTACTACATTGAAGATGACTTATAGATCATCCATGTGCCGAACACTGTCTCTGAGAGAAATATATCCATGAATGTACACAGATTAGCATGTGTAACATACTCAGCCCTCACAGCAGCCCTAGATCAACCAAACAGCTGAAAAGGAAAAATACTGAATAACCAAACAACAAAATTAACAGCTTGACTTAATGGACACATGCAGATCATGTACCCAATATCTGGGGAAAATATACACTTTCTAAGCACACAGAATTTTTATAAAAATCATTCATAAAACAGATCTTAAATTTTTGTCAAAGCATCAGAATCAGATAGCTCAATTCTATGAATACAATACAGTTAAATTAAAAATCAATTAAAATCAAAAAAACTTATATGTCTGAGAACCTTAAAGCACATTTGAAACTCACAGATCAAAAAACAAATCATACAAAAAGGTAGAAAGTATTTGTAACTAACACTGAGGAAAATATAACATTCTAAAACTTGTGTGATGTATTCAAAGTGGTATATCAATGAAAATAGTTTTAGTGCCTATTTTTTTAGAAAAGAAAGATTGAAAATTAATAAGGTAGGCATTCAGTTTAAGAAAAAAAGAATAGTGAGATAGACTCATGGAGAACTGGAGATAAATAATGTACGTAAGAGAAGAAGTACATAAAATAGAAATTGTTCTCAGCTAGGACTAGCTGGCAGGATGCTGAGTCTTAACAGAAACAGGATCTCTGAAGGTGTAAGAAGAGGATCTGCGGCACACACACCTCTCGCTCCTGTTTTAAACTCATTAAATGGATTTGACAGAAAGCATTAGAGGACATTTGCTTTTTTAAAATGACATTTCTTTTGTTCTTAATAACTCTAGTAGCACACTTTCAATGGAAATTTTGAAACTTTTGAACAATGTAAGGTCATGTAACTCATAACCCCTTCAAAAGGTGATTATCATTAGCTGCTAACATTGAAATATTTTCTAGTCATTGTTCTATGTACCTGAAGGCTTGTACATGTCTGCATGTAACTATACAATTATTTTAAAATTAGGCCTCAAATGGTATACATCTATTTGTATTCAGTTTTTTAATTTAACATTCCATCGACAGCAGAAATAATATTCCTAAAATGCAGAATTTTTTATGGCTATGTTAAAATTTAATTTTACTGGTAGAAATGTCACTGCTCATGGCCATATGCCAACACTAGACAGTGTCCCCAATTCTGTGGTGGATCTATTTAGCCAACATTATTCAGAATCCATCAATATGTGGACACATTGTATCTAAACAAGATTGAGCAAGTGTGATTTGTCTGAAAAACGGGCGGAACTGACTTGCCAGAAATCCGTTTACAAGAGGGCTGGGAATTTTGGGGAGAATTTCAAAAGGGCCTGGATAGGACATGCGTTGGGGCTTCACAGAGTGAGAAATCCCTGTGCTGTCAGAAGGGTGGCCCACCCACAGGGCCGCAGGATGTTTGTATCTTGGCCTTCCTCTCCTGGACCAGGTAATACCAAACTCATGTTTAAGTTCTTTGAAGAATTAAACATTATGAATTCGTTTTTAAAGAAAGTTGAATGAAGCTCTGTACAACTCTGGGGCCGAAGCACTTCTCCCTTAGAAGGCGCTAACACAGAATCTAGAAAGGCGAGACTTTGGGTGGGTCATTTTGGTTCCAATGAACAGAGCTGTACTGATTTAGCTTGAGTTTTACTGAAATGAGCCAGTGATAAAGCAGTGAGATCTTGCAAGAATCCAAGAACAGAAGTCAGTCTTCATGTTCACTGTCACTGTTCACTGTGGACAAAGGCGACGGATGCATGAAGGGACCTGAGGAACAGAAGTCCACGTGTCTTCCTTCCCGACGGACACCACTATTAACATGAGGCAGGTACTCTCTTTCTCAACTTTTAATCATTTTCCTCACACAGTGCTTTGTTCGGAGCTTCCTAGTTCAAATTCTCAAGTGCAAATATCCATCAGTCCCATTTGGGCAGTGTTTACCCCAGGCTGGGTGAGACCACTAGCATGACAATGGGCTCTCCAGGCTTGGGAGACACCCTTGGTTCCACCAGCTGGGTCCAGGGCAGGAGCATCATGCGGTGCACAACACAGCTCGCTTTCAGAATGCTCGCTTCAGCAAAGGCTGTGGACAAGGGGCTTCCCCTAGTGGAAGCTGTCAGCCTACGGGCGCCACGGAGACTGGCACTCCAGTCCTCCAGACTGTTGCCTGGCTTTGGCACAGAGCGGGTGCAGACAGTGTCCGTGGAGGACAGCAATGGAGAAGTGGCAGAAGTGTTGCGGCCCTGAAAGTCAGCGATGGAGACAGCTCTCGGCAGAGCAGGCACAGAGAACAGAAAGGCCTGGCATAAATGTCAGCCCAGAGTGCGTCTGGGCCCCCAGTGAGAGGAAAGTGTGAGGCACGATTGCTGTCCTCAGGGAGCACGGCCCATACAGGTGGAAAGTGTATATAGAAATGTTCTACTTGAAATTGTTTCCTATTTATAAATGTAATAGTAACTCCCATGACACAGGTATCCACTGGTAAATGGTCATTTTCTGAGCACCCAGCTGCTTAGGTGTACAAGGCTGCATCTTTCACCACCAGGAACAAGAAATACGACCAAGAGTTACTTAGGTGGCATAAAGTCATACAAAACTCTTTTTGGAGTTTTGTCATTGAAAGTCATTTAAAGTGCTCTTGCATGATGTTTACAGATATTTATTGTTGAGAAACCTGTAGAAAGGCCATATGCCTTTAAAACTCAATATTAAACACATACTTAAATATTTATAGTAAAACATGTTCAATAAACCTCAAAGATATTAGAAAAGGAGGAAGAATAGTTGTCAATGACCTGAATCACTCATAGCTAGTGGTGAATTTCTGTCTAGACTTAGTTTCTATCCTGAAATTTAATTATCTGGTATAGCAAACCACCAAAAAATGTTTTAAATAGCTATGTTTATACTGAAAAATATGAATTTGTAAACTGCCTTTATTTAATTGTTTTTGGTTTTTTTTGGAAATAAGGACTATGTAGTTCAGGCTGGTCTTGAACTTCCTACCTAGCCCAGGCTGGCCTCACACTCATACTGATCTTCCCGACTCAGTCTCCCAAGTGCTGGAATTACAGGCATGCTCCCTATATCCAGCTTTGTAACTTGCCTTTTTATGTAACATTACTAATTTTTAAAATATCATTTATAATTACCATATTTCATACCTAATGTACCACTCTTCACTACTTCCCCTCAAGTTAGGCCTTAGCTATCTATAATTTTGCAACATATTAAGCAATGCTGCAATTATACAGATTTACATGAAGCTTTATCTCACATTCTTGTTCCTGTATTACAGATTCTTCAGATGGTTTTGTTTGGTCAAAGGGTATGAACATTCCTGAAGTTTCTGGCACATGTAACTTGGAAAAAAATCCTAAATAAAAAGGTAGCACTGTTGGTTCTCCCAGTGAGGACTGTACATTTCAAAACTTGATACAATATATACTAAATGTAAAAAATGCTATCATTTGAAAATTGCCCTTAAGTATATACACTAGATATAAGACAGACAGATGCTCATATCTTGATAATGGAAACATTCTTGTCCTTATTCAAATGATTCCAGGCTATAGAAAAAAGGAAAAACATAATAAGTCATAAGTTTGGCTTGATTAATTATTCATAATCTAAGTAACAATTGAACTTATATTTTATATTTAAAACCTGACAGAATAGGAGAATATCTATTTAAAACTTCTAGGAAAGGCATTATACATATTATATTGCTAAACCAAAGACACAATTTTTCATTTATAATTTTTTATTTTGTACTTATTAGCAGTTTCAACCATAACTGAATTAATATTGGGATTTTAGCAGATAAAGTTGAAATAACTTCAGTAGGATAAAGACACATTTTCCCTCTTCAAATTTCATGCTAATGCATACAATATAAAAATGATTTAGTAGTTCAGAGAAGTTATTTCAATAAGATAAGTTTCTAAGCCTTTAATTAACTTATGAATAAGAAAACAATAAATGGCAAAATTTCTTCATGCTTTGGGGTATCTCTACATAGAACAATGAAATGTTGCTCATTCAAAACTGCTGGATGGTCCTCCCCATACAACATGGAGTGTAGAGTTTACATTTATTGAGTTGATTCAATTCATATAGAGAAGTGGATCGACACATTGGAATATCAGAAAAAAAAATGAGATTTTAGAGCTTGAATAAGGATGAAGTAGTAGAAATGGAGGGGTGTTGAAATTCTAGAAACCTTTGAACAGTACTCATTGAATTTTGAGAAGTAAGAGTAAAGTGGAGGAGGTACAGAGAGAGCTGTGTGTATCTGTTACCTGGATGATGACTGAATAGGTTCCACACAGGATCTTCGATAAGTGAATGACTACTCTGATGAGGCAGATGATCACTTGAAGCCCACTGAGGGTTATGAGAATGGAAAACAAAATGACATTCCATTCAACTACGTGTGCAGGTTCCAGACACCGGCTCCATATGCTAGAATTTGTAAGGAAACTGGGAGAGAAGGAGGGAAAGGTCAGTAAGACCCACACCCAACTCTACACACTTGATCCAAGGAGGAAGATGCAGGTATTGTGTTTGAGAAATTAAGAGATACTACTAAGATTTATGATAATATTAATGCATTGTTATATTAGTAACATTGAAGAATAATATGAATTCTACGTTTGGAAAACAATTCATTCATACATGCATGTACAGACTGAACACACTGCATACATAGCCCTGAACTAGACTTAGTTTGTTATAAGTTGGTGCCCATCTTAGAAGCAGTATCAGTTTAATTAGGCAGCAAAACACACACAGAAGAGTTATACAGCAGTGAAGGGCAGCAGATGTTAACGCCCAACAGAGGTCGACAGCCTTTCTCAAGAGGCCAGAAATGGCTCAAAGATGGGATTGGGCTTGTATTGGACGTAATATCACACATGGTACAAAATGGCAAAGAGAAATTCTGTTAGCAGTTCCTTGATTGTGGAGGACTACCTAAGTGACTGCCCTTGAAAGAGGGGCAATTGCCTCCATTTTGGCTGGGCCTGACCCTATTTCCATGGACTGATACGTACTGAGCTGGCTAGGACCCTTTCCTTATTCCTTCAATTAGCTCTAAGAAACGCATATCGGTCTAGCCGAGGCGCTGATGGCAATCTCTGAAGATGGCAGTCGTGTTTCCCCAAACCCCCCCCCCCCACTATTCCCACGAGTGAGGCTGGATGAGGTGGATGTGTGAGCCATGCTCCACGCTGTTGGCTGAGATCGAGCCTTGAGATCGAACCTTCCTGGGGTTTCAAAGATTGCATATCAGAGCTGAAGCATCGACCCCAAAACATTAGGTACTGTCTCAGTCGTGTTGTGCAGATTGCTCTTTCTGCATGTCCTTCTCTCTGCATGTGGCAGAGGTGAGTTCAGGCCTCCTACCTCCCAGCTCATGGCACTCTCCTGCTTCCTGCCACCCTCATGGTCACTCATCCACAAGCCACTCTCTATAGCATGAACTATCCTCTTGCTTTTCTTCCTCCTTCCCTCATTTCTCTCTTACTCTTTTACTTTAACTCTCTCTTCCTTCCCTTTCTTTATTTCTTGCTCTCTAATGCACAGGGCCAGAGTGAGGCATTCTGAGATCCTGGGTTGGGTTGCTAGAGCTACCCACATTTTGGGCAAGCTGAGTGGGATCCTGGCTCCTCTACATCCTCCTGTATCTAGTTGTGTTCCCGGATCTCAGAACTCATGTCTCATCATCCGGCTTTACCTCTGTGTTGCCCTGTTGCTATAGCCCAGACTGGCACTACTGACGGGCACCCCAGCTCCATCCCAGCCGAGCCTCCTTCACACCTGTAAGCAGCCATGTGTCCAACCTGGCCACAAAACAGGACTGAACCAGATGCCAGCAGTTACCAGACCGCAATAACCATGAGGTGCTAAGATTCATGCGTTGAATTCAGATCAGTCCTAAACTGAAACATGGGCAAACATACCTTTTCTTTGGATATGTCCATGATAGCCTCAAAATATTGAATGCATAGTGCATTAAAAGACTGGACAAAGTAAACATCTAATTAAAGATCTGTGCAGAAATGAACAAACTGTTCTGGGTATTAGTAAACAACAGTAGTAGTAGAAGTTTGCACTACAGTAGCCAGTTAGAACTCCACAGCTGTCATGGCAAATGGGCTTGCGCATGAGCCTAGGGGTTTCTGAATTCCAAGCTCCTTGGTGGGGGGGATTACTCCTTACCGTCCTGCAGTGCCTTCAAATGCGTAGTGCCAGCCATCCTGGGTGCGGCAGTACGGGCCCTGGACAAGACCCAAAGCAGAGATGACCAGGCAGTATCCGGAGACAGCAATCCCAAAGGCAGAAAAGATAACGGACAGCAGTTTCTAAATTAAACACAGAGGAAGTTTATTGCTATAGACTAAGACAAAGGGGTAGTGTGGAAAAATTTTCAAATGTGTATCCCTCAAGTCCACACCCAGTACAGCTTATGCAATGTCAAATGCCCACAAAAAAATTTAACCCAAATATAGCTTATCTTTAAAATACATCTGAAAATGGCTATTTGCCATCATATAGGGGGAATTAAGTAATTTACTGAATTGACAACAAAATAAGGATCACTTCTTATAGAAATGCAGTGAAGGGATGTGATTGATCACCCCTAGCTATTTATAGAGGCCTGTTCTTTCCTAGATATGAATGGCTGTGTGGAATGATAAGCTATGACCTCTCCTTTGACTCTGTGGAGATATGTTAGTATTTTCACTTAGAGGAATGTAAAGGGGAATATTGTGTCAGCCTAGATATTCACACGAGGGTGGAATAGAGGGGGAAGAGGGTGTTTTCATCTGAGCAGAGAGCATGGGCATAAGCAGAGTAGTGAGGCAGTAAGCAGGGCGGTCTGCTCAGAGGAGTGAGGGGCGAAGTTCTGAAGACCAGACGGCCATGGTGCTCACGCTGGGGAGACGACCCTGACAGGACACAGTTCGGCCTCCAGTGACTGCAGCCTTCGGTGCACAGAGTGAGTACAGTTTGACGGATACCTGGGTGCCGGGGCAAGGGTCCGGACTTCCTTCCTGGCCAAAGACATCTTCCCAACAAGATTTTACTTGAAATTTTTAAATCTACAAAAAAGTTGAAGTATAGTACCACAAACCCCTGCATACCTTTTATCGAGACTCCTTTATCCTGAATATTCTACCCCATTGGTGCTCTCTCTGTGTGTACAGTGTGTTTATGTGCATGCATGCCTGCTCACACACACATATTTATTTATACATTTCTGTTGCTGAACCATTTGAAAGTGAGTTTGTAAACATTATAATCTTTTTTTTTTTTTTTTTTTGGTGCTGGGAATCGAACTCAGAAACTTACGCTTGCCAGGCACGTGTTGTACCGCTGAGCTATATCCCTGGCCAGCATTACAATCTTAAGTACAACAGCATACATCTTTTCTGAGGATAACAACAGTTTATCACTTTGTAACTCTTCAGAACTTTTTGTAAAAGGTCCAGTGAAGGTTTATATACAAGCATATGTCATCGTAGCTTCCTTTAATCTCCATCAATTTGACTTTTTGTTTTTCATAATATTGATGGTCTAAAGAAAGCCCACCCATTGTCTCATGACCACCCACATTCGGGGCTTTTCCAATTGTTTCCCCACAAGTGGATGTAAATGTTTTGTCAAGAATTCTTGAATGATATGCTTTATACAGTGTCTCTTGTGTGCTATCGGTGGTGCTCGGTTTGTTCTCTTGGCTAAGGGCATCCTTCCGGTCTCTCCCCAGGTACATTTTCTGTTTTGCGATTAGTAAATAATCATGATGCACAGTCATTTCCCAGCAACAGTTCCCCTGACGGATCTGGCATCCACTGATGAGCCACCTACCCAGGGATCACCAGTGGTCCCACTAAGGCTTGCAATGTGCAACTTTATAGTTCTATCATGTCCTTGGGTTTTATGTTACCATTTTTCTGCACAGAATTTTCATTTCCCCCTCCTCTCTCCTTCGCTTCTCTCTTTCAATATTATTTTGGACTCATAGGTTTCATAATACAATGTGCTATAATCCCAGCCTTCATTATTCTGGTAAGTGCCAAGATTTGGCCATGGCAAAACACATTTATTTAAGTCAATGCCCTTTGACATGCCCGCATCCTGTTTTGAGCAGACCCTTGCTTTCCAGTGTTCCAGGCTTATTTGAACTTACCCTGCCCTGTTTTTCTAAGAAGTCATGCAGCTGGTTTTTGAGCAAGGAAGTGACATGACCAAATGTACTTTTGGAAGATGGCTTGGTGGTGGCGGCAGCACGTGAGCTGGAAGTGACAGAGCCCAGAGATATGGATCCCATGTGGAGGCAACTTCATGTGAGGTGACAAGGACATGCACAGGAGGAAAGCACGTTAAGGAGGAAAGGAGTAACTGGAGCTGGACTGAATGGAGAACTCTAAAGCGTGGATGAAAAGGATACAGAAACAGGGATATTAAAAAGGGTGGCTTGATTTAGGAGAAAAATGGATCTATTTTATTATGTTAATTTGAAGGTAAAGATAAAAATCAGTACGTAATAGCTACTTGATATATACATAAGATGAGACCAGACAAAGCTAGCACAATAAACCTGTGGTGTTAAGAATAAAAATACTCTGAAATTATATTTCTTTGTTTAAAATATTTTCACTGATTATAGCATTGGGATATCATCATTATGGAAAATTGGGAAAAGATTTATATATAAAAGAAAAGAACAATTCTGATTTGATATTCATTATTTCATTGGTGTGTTCACATACAATTAAATGCTCTTTGAAATTATTTCTCAGGTTAATATTAGTAGCTTTACCAATGAAATGAGAGAACCAGAGCTATATTTTTTAAAGGTAGATTAGTTACATTTTATAAAGCAAATTTGTCTGTTCTCAACTATTTGCTTATTTCCAACTTTGAAAAAAGGAAGAAGGACATTTTGAAAGATACCAATCCTTGCTTGTCAAATGGACCCTTAGTCAGTTCACCAAATGGAAGCTCAGTGAAGAATTTCTGCTTTTGGGGAAACTGGCAGCCACAGTATATGTTTGTTCACATGGACATGCGCACCGCTGTGCAGTGAAGCCAGCCTCAAAATAAAGCGGGATGAGAATCTCCTTGAGTCACAATTTCATTTTCTGTAAATTATAGATGATGTAGAAGATGAAACACCTATGTGCTATGTAACAGCTGCTTCAAAAATTAAAAATAACAAACATTTAACTATTATTTTAAATGACCTTATTCGCCCAATATTTACTTTCCAGGAAAAACTGCCCAAGAATTTTGGCAGAAGAACAGTTTATTGCTGCTTTTACAAAAATTGCGCAGGCTGGATAATTTATAAACCACAAAATGTTAGTGCTCACAGTCCTGGAGGCTGGGACATCCAAGATCAAGTGCCCCAGATTTGGTATCTAGGGAAGTCCTGTTCTTCATAGATGCCTCTTTCTATATGTTCTCACGTGGTAGAAGAGGGCAAGAGTGGTCTTTTCAAGACCTTTTATAAAGGCACTAACCCCACTCCTAATGGAAGAGCCCTCATGACTTAAGAATTTCCCCAAAGTACTTAATCCCCAGGGACACATTTGGAGGGACACATTCACAGCCAAGTGAGTCTTAGGTGACTTCAATTTTCATTTTGGAGCTGCAGAAGTGACAAATTGGTGCAGGCTCCACTTTGACCTACAAGATGTGTTTTATTTGTTTTAAAGGAGAATTAATTGTCAGTATTTTATAGTTGAGGACTTTTACATAAAAATCTGTGTTTCTACTGAAAACTGGGAATTATCATTCATTTTTATCATAGTAACACTCGACTGGTCTTGAGCAGCAGTTCTCCTTCGTGCATAGGTGGGAATTTTGCTATAATGCCTACCAGGCTCACTTTGATTTGCATCACATACTTAGCTCCTAGGGGCACACAGAGTGGGACCTCTGTTTAGAGCCTCTCTTGAAAAAGGCAAACAAGGAAGCCAAGGAATCTGCTCTCCTTTCCTCTGATCTTCCCAGTGAGATGTCAGTCATCTCATTCAGTGGTGAATATAAGACAATGTTCTAACTATTCCTAGCAGCCATTTATGCTCCAGATGCTAATAGTAAGTTAAAATAAATTGAACGTTGATTTTATTATATACCTAGTGACTGATACTTTTGTTTACAGAATTTTCCTGAATACTACAGTAAAGTAGCTTAAATGTGTACATAAATCCATTGCTTACCTGAACAGTTTTGAAAGTTCTCCTGTAATACAAGTACTCATCTATTGGGAGGTGTCTGAGTCCACGCACAAGAGATGCGAGAGGGAAGGAGAGGAATAGGGAGAAGGAGAGCACAGGGACAGGGAGAAAGTATTCCAATTCTCAACAAGGACACAATACTGAATAAGCGCCTAATTTCATTTTGTAAAGGCATCAGTTAAAGAAAGTTGGCCATACCAACTTGGGTACATGTTAAAATCTCCTGGGAGATTTTTAAAAAATCCATACCCAAGTCATACCTCAGACCAACAAAGTCAGAGATTCCAGGTGGTTCTTGGGCACCAGTATTTATGTATGTTCCCAGGTGACTACTATGTGTAGCTAACATGTGGAGCCATGCTGCAAAGAAATGCCCACCAGACCTTGTAGTAAAGCTTCTCCTAGCTAATGAATCACATGTCCTCTGGAGCCACAGAGGCTCCTTCTATAAGACAGGAGTGATGATGACCTAACTCACTTGGGAAAGGTGAACACACTGTGAAGGGCTATGCGAGGGTGAGTTAAGAAAAGAAAGAAGGGAAGAAGAGGAGGAGGGTAATGGTGGAAATGTGCGAGTCCAGGCCTGCTGGGAAAATCTTCCTGCATTAGGTGCTATTTTAACTATTTTTAAAGTTCCAATTTTAAAAAAGTCCTCATATGTCTCATCATATATGTCTTAGGTGAATCTAAAAGTCATTGTGCTGAGTGACAGAAGCCAGATAAAAAATGAAAATACTACAAGATTCATTTCATATGAATATAAACTAATCTGTAGTGAGGAAGAACAGATCAAGGTTGATCTTTCGGAGGTAATGAAATGTTCTTCTCTTGAGTCTCACGAGTGCACTTGGGTCTGAACTCATGGAACCGTACACTTTCACTGGATGCCATTTATTGTACATAAATGAGTCCTCAGTGAAGCAGGTAAGGGAAAAGCTAGACACCTAGAAACCCACTTAGGAAAAGAAATACTGTTTCCTAATTTTACATGTTTAAATCCTGGATTTCTGGAAGAGGATCTGCAGAATACAGGCGGAGGAGGTAGAACAAACAGAGTGGAAGAGGATCTCACCGCAAACTGTGGGCTCTGAGGGCCAGGGCGTGGAGAGAGCGTGCTGCTGTCGATGTCTGCATGTTTCCGAGTGAGAGGAAAGAAAGCTGAAGCCACTCAACCACCACCCGCTGCCCAAACTGCCGCTCTTACCATGTACTTTTTGCTGCAGTTTTCACTCTGGCAACATTTATAGCGGTTATCATTGTCCAGTACAAGGAGAACTGCAGCTACTATAAGCATCTGTGAGGAGGGAGAGATAAAATGTGAGAAATGGAGTGCTAGTTCACACTTCCGTTCCTGATCAGAGGACAGTGCCTCCAAGCATAGACCCTGGAATCGGGCAGACCTGGGTTCAAATTCCAGCTTTGCTGCTTGTTAGCTGTGTAAATTTGAGAGTCCTTCCCTACCACTTCATCGAGTTGTCATGAGGTAAAACGCAACATTTGAGTTTAGTGCTAGGTTTACAGGAAGTGACTGATAAATATTAGCTATTATGGTGATCTGCAGTAATCCAAAGCTAATGATTAAGGAGGAGTAGATGGTAGGGTCAGGCTAATGCCATCTTTGGCAACAAAGCTGCTTTTTTCACTGACTGATCTGTGGAGGGCAAAGGAAACTATTCACAAGACTGAGGTTTGCCAGCCTCTCTCCAGTAACTGCCTTCTGGGAATGGAGACGACAGGTATGGTTAATCTGAAACTATGGCTCTTTAAAGTAAGTTCATTTTCCCCATGCAGTCAAACCATCTCAGGTTCAAATTTTCCAGTGTGTTTTGCATGTTTCAAGAAGCAAACTGGAAGAATTCCATGCATTATGCTTTTCTTTTCTTTCTTTCTTTTTTTTTTTTTTTTTGGTATCTTAAACAAGGAGCTTGAGCTAAATAAACCTTTCCTTCCTTAATTTTGGGTGTTGGGTATTTCGTCTCAGCAACCAGAGAAAAGTAACTAAGACATTTGTGAAATTTATAAGAATAAATAACTAGAAGGAGCACCCTAGCAGAGAAAGGCTGAATACATTTTGGCATATTCTTGAGCTCGGATGGCATATTCTTGAGCTCAGCAAAGAATGTGGATGTCTTTACTATTATAATTTCTGGCTAAGGCAGTGATGGACCACAACCTGTGGGAAATTTTCTATCCCTCCCTTATACTCGCTTTTCAGTACCAAGTCCTACAGTGGAGTTCACTGTTATTTTACTACTTGTAGCCAATATTTCCAGTTTCCAAATTGCTTCAGCCTTTGTTTATCTGCCCATTTAATTATTTATCTATATCTCTCCTAAAAATATTTTATGCAGTTACAATAATACATTTCCTAGAAAATTAAAGTAATTCCTAAAAATTGGAAACACATTGTTTCACATTTTAAATTATATCTGGAATGTAAGTCAGTAAGTCCTATAGTTCTCTCCCGCCAATACCATTAGTTACTGCAGATTTTAATAGATTCCAATTTAATCTTATTTATGTCTTGCACCTTTTCATTCATTATAATTACATACAAGGTAAACAATAATGAGACAAAGCTGAAGTACAATAACCAGGTTCACTACAATACTGGTAGAAATAACTAACTCTGTGTCCTAGTGTCCTGTTGCTCAGACATCAACTGTTGAAAGACAGACTGCCTTTGTTTTCTGTCATTGTCGTTTGTTTGTTTGTTTGAAAACACAACTGCAATACAGAAGACTCTAGAATGATGGAAGAAAATTACCTGTAATTCCACCACCCTCTTGTGTTTTAGCATACTTTTCAGTGTTTTCTCTTTTTTTTTTTTTTTTTTTGGTTTTTCTCCGGTACCGGGAACCGAACTCACGACCTTGCGCTTGCCAGGCAGGCACTTTTGCCGCTGAGCTAAACCCCCAGCCCCCTTTTCAGTGTTTTTCTCATATCCATATGTTTTACATGGTTGCAATAATAATTGACCCAATTTTGTTGTATCTTTTTCACTTAACATAAAATAATATGCACTTTCTATGTTGTCATGTTTTCATAATTACATTTTTATCAGTGAGGAGAATATGCCAAAATTTATTCATCCTTTCTCTGCTAGGATGCTCCTTCTAGTTATTTATTCTTATAAATTTCGCAAATGTCTTAGTTACTTTTCTCTGGTTGCTGAGACGAAATACCCAACACCCAAAATTAAGGAAGGAAAGGTTTATTTAGCTCACAGTTTGTGGAGGTTTTAGGCTGTGATCAGCTGGCTCCAAAGCAGGGTGGCATGGTGAGGGGTAACAGTTCAAGGCGGCAAAAGAAGGCAGAAGCAGTAAGAGCAAGGGCAGGGGGAGAGCAAGTCTCTTCTCCTCCCTTATATTGTAAGCAGGCCACCTGCCCTCGGGTGGGTGTAGGACTCATAACATCTCTGTGCCTGCCTCTTGCACGGGCTCAGGATGTTTACAAAGTGAGGCCCTTGCCCCCTGCTGAGCTGCTTAGTTAAACTTCTAAACTTCTCAAGTTGACATAATGTATCAATCATTACAGCTGACATCTGTGCATATCATTCTTGCATTACACTGGAATATTTCCTGAGAATTAATGGTAAGATTTATGTTTATTGAGTCAAAGGATGTACACACTTTCATAGATTTGATATAGTGTACCAACTCTTCTCTCAAAGATTTGCTTTATTTGTAATGCCACTAGCAACATTAGTTATGTACCTATTTCACAACAACTTCAATAGCCCTAGAGATTAATAGCTTAAAGTTTACTAATTTGACTTGCAAAACAAAATGAAACAGAAAATGCTTTCCAGCATACCTATTCCAACATTGTAATAATCCAACACACAAAGATGTAGAGATCAAATAAAATGAATTTCCTTCTACATTATTTGTGGCCTAGCAAATTATAGTTTACATTGTATTTATTGTTTTTAGAATGGGATGATCAAGAAAAGTATCTTTTCCTCTAAGTGGCCAACATGATTTACTATCAGTTTATTTTTAAAGAACACAAAGCTATCAGGAAAGTATGGGTTCTTACCATGGGTAATTTGACTTCATATTTAAAAAACACCCTCCATTCATCCTATTAGAGGTATAATGTAAGCTTTTTAGTGCTGCTATGTCCCATTCTTTGATGAGTATTTACAATCACAGTAGCACTGGCTATCTACTACAATAGGTCAGCTCTGTTCGAGGCACTTTATGTGATTTTATTTAATGCTCACAGTCATCTGAAAATTAAATGTCATTATTCACATTTTTAACATGAGGCTCTAAGGCTCAATGTTGCTGAGTAACTCACTAAAGTTCTCACAGCAAACTTGACAGAGCTTAGTCTGAAGGCGGGCTTTTGACTCTCCGTGTCACTGATTTTCCTATCCTATCACAATGCCCCCTCAAGCTAGAGAAATTATTGTGTGGACAGAAAATCTGTTCTGGAAAAGAAAAATGCAACTAGGGACTAAGTAGCTTAAACTGACTCACAAAGTTTGTGATATTTTTCAGCTTAATATTTTTACAGGCCAGCGTCCCACAAACTTTCATTTAGGACTCACTTCCTGCTTTGCTGAGTAGCTTACTGAAAACAAAGCAACACCCCACCTCCTAGAGGACTGCCTCCCCCTGCCCCTCGGCCCGTCTTCCAAATCTCAAACCCAAGATCAGTAAGATGATTTTCTTACAACTCCCCATTCTGCAATCCCAAGTCTCAAAGCCATACTTACCATTACTCCTGAGAAACAGAGTCCTTCAAAATACCACACGTAGCTGGTGAGCTTATTGCTGGATGCATAAAAAGTTTGCCCATTTGGGAAATACAATAATATATTCACAATGATACTCCAAAGAGCAAGAGGAATCAGCAGACAGCTTAGGCAGCCTCCATACTTCCAAGACCCCATTTTGCTTGGAACCTGCAGATTTCAAAAGGACAGATCACATAAAGCCTGTCTTTCTTCCCACCTGTCTATTTGTTTTCTTTTGTATTACCTGCCACTTTCTGGGTCAGAGACCTTCACTTCATATTCATGAGGAGCCAGGACTTAGACTACAACTGCAGCCAACAATCTCAGTGTGAAATAGTGGTTTACTGTTCAGAGAACAATAGACAATGATCACGGCTGAAGAGCTGAGCTGCTCTTCATCCTGTGCCAAAGGAATGTGATGTTTTTCACTGCTTTTGAAAATAAGTCATTTTCCTCTGAATGAGAGCATTCAACACTTAACCTTGCGGAGGAAGTTGAAATGAGAGCTGGAATTGAGCTGCTAAATTTCACCCAACAGGAGAGAGAGGGTTAAAGAGAAAACTGCCAAAGGTGCTCATTCTGGAGCATGCTATGTCTGTTACCCTTTTCTATGTATCCCTCTTCTGCCTCTCACTTCTGCCTCTCATGTATAAATGCATATGTTTTCTTACTGTTAAGGAAAAGGAGGGAAAAGAAGGTGGGTAATTTGACTAATATTTTGTAAGCAATGCGTTTGAAAGAAAGATCAGGAATTCTGCCTTCCAAATTATTGCCTTAAGTCAGAAGAGCCACAGATGTCCTCTAATTATGATGATATGAGAAGGGAAGTATAGAAAGGAATCTGGGTCCTAGCATGTTACAGATGATGTGCACACAGCAGAAAAGACCCCAAAGATAGCTTGATGTACATTCCAGCCCTTCAGTTAGACTCCTGCTTAACTAAACTTTCTTAAGTCTCAACTTCCTCAGCTATGAAATGGGGTTATCCCAGAATAATAATGTGAAGATTAACAAAATTGTTTGTGCAAAATACCATATAAGGTGCACATAGGCAGTTATAAATGGGAGCCATTACTTGTGTGTGTCTCTCTCTCCACGCTGGGAATGGAATCCAAGGCCTCACGCATGCTAGGCAAGCCCTCTACCACTGAGCTACATCCCTAGCCTGGTAGCCATCATAATAAAAGGGCACTAGCAGGCGGAGGCAAGAGGATAGCAAGACCCTGTCTCAAAATAAAAATTATTAATAATAATAATTATTATAATGGCAGTTAAAGGAACATAATTGTCACACTAATATAGAAATCAGAAGAAAGTTTGCTTATTTGCTCTTCTTTGTATCCAAAGAGTTCTGAATTATGAAGTCCTAAAATCTTGTTCCCAAAACAATTTCATTTAATATGATCTTGTCCTCCTGAAACTATTGTTTATAGCATATGTGCTTTTGACTCAAGAGAATAAAAATTTATTTTTATGAGCATAATTACAAGATGACATTATAAGTGTACTTTTCATTAGAAAATTGCAATACTGGGAGCCACTTTTGGATTCAAGCAAAAGAGAAGTTGACAGCAGAGCATTTGAAGGTGGGGTGGGGGACAAGATGCTGGGAAGGAACTGAGAAGCCAGAGATGGGAGTGATCACCTAGGACAGAGGTTAGGGTGAGCAATGGTGGCAATGGCGAGTGTGGACAGAGTAACTCACTTAGAAAGTCGGGAGTCAAACCCTCCCAGGAGTGAAAGGAAGTCAGCTTGAAGGAGAGTACACTGAGGGTGGGATGTGACGGGAAAGTTATCCACTGTTGAAACTGATAATCTCTTTAGACAGTCACTAGCAGTCTTCCCTCCCTCACATCAACTTTCAGGCAGAGCTGCTTAAAAAATTAAAACTGTTTTATTTGACACTTAGTTTTCTTCACTCTGAAACCTGCTCTCAAGGAGGTTCCAACAGGCACTGAAAAGAGCAGCAAGAGCCGGGGGACAAAGGAGAATGAGGTCGCCCCTGAAGAGAGTCGTGGGCTCTCAAGGAGCCCGGGAGCTGCAGAGCTGCAGAGGAGCTGCAGAGACATACTTGCGACGTCCTAAGGAGGTTTAGCCTAGATGAGATTTCAGAAAAGTGTTTCTGGCTGACTTTTGTGCTTTAGAGAGGAACGACAAGAATACATTTCATCAAAGTTTATGAAGAATGGAGTCTTAGACTATTTTCCACATTGTAGAATGCTGCAGTTTCCAAAAATTTTTCAAGTCAACGAGGGGAACTATCACACTCAGTCAGGGACCTCTCAAAAATAATCAGGATAAATTGTTGTCTCTTGATATCTTCCATGTGCCAGGTTCTATGCTAGAAGTTTTCATGAGTATTAAAAATCAATAACTCAGGCTGGGGATTTAGCTCAGCAGCACAGCACCTGCCTGGCAAGCCCAAGGTCGTGAGTTCGATTCCCAGTACCGGAAAAAAAACAAACAAACAAAAAATCAACAATTCTCCCATTCATTCTTTCAGTGACACTAAGGTGAAGGTATTATTACCCCATTTTACATGTATACAGAAAGGTATACAAGAGCCAGGGATATAGCTCAGCAGCACAAGTGTCTGCCTGGCAAGTGCAAGGTCCTGAGTTCGATTCCTAGTACCAAAAAAAATGCATATAAGAAACTTACTCAGGAGCTAGAAATTAAGCCTAAATCATTTACACTTTTTGGATTATTGCATCACTTTCATCCTTGCCTGATAATCTATACGCTGCCCCCTTCTCTTTCTTTGCAAATAGGTTTCAAGGAGAGACATTCTGATTCCTTGGTAGTGGCTGCCTATAGGGCCGTTTTGAAGGTCTATGGCTTCAATGACAGGGATCTTCAGGCCAGATAGAATGCTTACATAGGCAAGTGATGTCCACTACAGATATAGAGTCAGGGAAGAGCAAAGCACATAGCTAGTACTCCTTTGACTTGGTCATTATTCAAATTGTGTGTGGTTTCGTGTTAATAGTGATGGTTCCACGTCACAGGTAGTTACTAAGATTCAGGGGACATGCTTGACCGGTTGTCATTTGGAAGACTGTTCAGTAGGAGCCATAGAAGTTAATGAAGAGATGTAACTGGCTGGAAAACACCGGTGGAATTGTGAAAAGGGAAGTCCAGCAATTTCCTTATCTTTGGTTATCCCATTAGTGAAAATATCTAATGAATTCTCTTTGGAAAACGAAAACATTTACTCAACTTTACACCTAGGAAAATTTTTTTAACCCACCTCTAAAGAAAATATGTGTGTGCATAAAAAAATTCTTGAAGCTCTTTGCCTCCAGTAAGCTCCCAATTTTCTTGCCAAAAAATTCTTACTAAATCAGGATTTTCTTGCGGGTCTCTCTTTGGAATGTTGTGCTTATTGGCTGCTTCTGGTCTCAGCTTCCTGTTCTCAACAGCGGAGATGAGGAAATCCGCAGGATGCCTGCTACTCCTACTCAGAGACAAGGTGACTCAGGAGGAAGCACTCCACCTAAAATAGTCTTAGTGTGCAGCTTCTGAGTCACCGTGGAATTAGAGTTCATGTGATCCTGAAATTAGCCCCACAGGTGATGAAAGGTAGGGAAGAAGGAAGCACCTGAAAGAAGTTTATCAAAGAGAAAAATTTGTCAAAAATTTATCAGCAGAAAAAGCTAATACTTAGAGAAAAATTTTATTCTGAGAATTCTAAGTCGATGAACTGTGAAGTCTTCCACTGACTGTGGGCACAAAGTCCTGGTTAGGACCCACTGGGAGTGAATATTTGTTTAAAAACACATTAGGACCGCAGCAGTAAACAGCTGTGCAAACAGAATCAGTGTTCCTGAGCTTTGTGTTTAAAATTCTTTCTCAAGAATTATCTGGGCCGAAATGTCTACTGTGCCAATAGACTCTAGGTTTATCTTTAACTAATGGTAAACATCCAGCTTTTTGCCTTCTGGGAGAAGAACACAGGCTTACAGCTCCTATCGAAAGCTCTTCCAGCAACATGCTACACTTGGAACATCCTCTCTGACCTTTGTCATTCCCACCGTTCACTCCCTTCCATTTGCTCAGCTTTCCAGAGAATTCACTCATCTATTCCAACTGCTCACCGTGAGTGACTGGGGGAGCATAGCCAATCATTTACTCTTGAAATATGTATTAAGCATCTACCTGACTACTGAGGCAAAGAACATCCACCTCCTGACCCCAAGATACTCAGAGTCTGGCTGAGGGAATAAATATGTTCAACAATAGATATGCAGTACAAAATTTTGAATTGCCAGTGGATTTGACCTTGGCTTTTTGAAAGAATGGGAACTTTGGGTGGATCTGGATTTATGGGAGATTTCTTGGAAGGCTGGGGACAAATCTGAGCCTTCAGCTTAAGAAGCAGGTAGCTGGGCAACCTGAGAGTCCATAAAAATGAAATGTCCACCAAAAATGCAGTATATGATGTTTAAGTGGATCTTTGGAAACAAAGCTGGTGAAACATCTTTTAAAGACATTGGCAAGATATGAATATAAACAGTATAAGACAATATTAGAACAATGATGTTAATTTAGCTGTGATAATGGCATTTCAGTGTAGAGAAGATTGTTCTAATACTTAGGAGATGCATGCATCGTACTTTAAAGTAGCTTAACAAAATAAAGAGATATCAAAGGGGAAAAGGAAGAATAGGAGTGTATTTACGATAGATAAGTGAAGCAAATACCATAAATAGTAACAGTATCTGAATTTAAATCTAGATGTTCATTATACTACCTTTTCAACTTTCTTGAATTTGGGGAACTTTTCATAGAAGATAATTGAAAAAAAATTCCCCGGTAGCGTTTTAATTTGTGAATGGCAATGCTGTACAAAATCCAAAGGGTTCTTTTATCTGGGAAATTCAAAGTAGAAAAACCAGTGATCTGCTCAGACAGATGCTCTGAGGCACCGAGTGAATGCTCATAAAAATGTGGAGCAGCAAAACTTCTCATTCATTACTGCTGGGAATGCAAAATGATACAGCCACTTTGGAAAAAGCTCGGCAGTTTCTTGCAAAGTTAAACGTATCCACACGATGCAATCCAGCAAATATAATCTTGAGTGTTTGTTCAAGAACAATGAAAACACACCTACACAAAGATCTATACTATAACATCTAGAGCCATTTCTTTCATGATCACTGAAAATGGGAAACATTAACAGGCAAATAGTAAATAGATTATACATCCATAAGCAAAATAGTAATCAATAAATAAAAGAACTACTGGTACTTTGACATGGATGAACCTCAAAAGCCTTTACTAAGTGAAAGAAGCCTGACCACATAATGTGTGATTGCATTCATAGGACATTTTGAAGGAAGACAACAAGCTATGTGGGGAGAAATCAGAGGAGTCATTACCAGGGGCGGGGGTGAGGATTTGACTGCAAGAGAGCACAGGGGCTTTCTGGAGTGAGAGAAATACTTCACATGGTTTAGAACGCTGAGGACCTACAAAGTTTGTATTTTACTGCATGGAAACATGTCTCAATATATCTCACTTCAAAAAGACTTTAGGACTGATTGGATAAAGAATACGGAAAAATGCAAAAGGTATTTTAATGATTAAGAAAATAGAGACACTTTGACTTTATTTTTTAAGGTGGAGATGTCAGAGGACAGCACTGAATGCAGCTAGCTCACTGCAGCAAGAATGACATGCTGGGTTGAGTTATATCAAGCAGTAACTCGGGATATATGAAAACAAATCGATTTATTTTAATGCTACTGATTTAGAGGATACTATAATCTGAATTTAGAGGGTACTATAATCTGAATGAAAGAGCCCACACAAGCGGACTTAGTGTCCAACTAAGAGAGGCTGCAGGGAGCTGCCTCACCCTCTGCTCTGAGGGGATGTGGGAAGGACCATCCATGAAGCAGAGAATAAGCCTGTACCACAAACCGAGATGCTGGTGTCTTGCTCTTAGACTTCCCAACTCCCAGCACTAGGCAATAAATTTCTATTGGCTATAAATTACCCAACCTAAGGTGTTTTATTATAGCAGCCTGCATGGACACAGACTGAGGCCAATGGGCACAATCATGAGAAAAATATTATTAACTTTAAAAAGTATGTAAGTGATTCTTAAAAAGAAACTGATATTCTTTTGGAATACACTGAAAGCTTCTGTACATATATAAGCATGCCCATGACTGTCTCTAAACACCTAACCATAAGCGTCTTTGGAACATGTTTTTCATTGATTTTTACATTCTATACACAATTAAAGAATGTACAAAAGGCTTTAACTCCAATTTAGAAAAAAAACTAGATATTTTTTAAAAATAAAGGGTGCATTAATATTGGTAGCAGTGGACATGGAGAGAGCTTAAGAGAATAGAATTATTTCTAGGAAGTGATTTTTCAGATAAGATGTGCTTCCTCACGGGCACCTAGACCTACCTATCAAATAAAATCAACTCTAGCATTTGTAAAAAAGGAAAGATAGAAAATTTACCATTAATAGAAAACTGGTTAAGTAAATTATGGTATGATCTACGTTAGTGGAATACTATGTAACTGTTAAAAATGAGATAAATCTGTGTTATGTGCTGTTAGGCAATTATGACTGAGTTTTAATAATACTGTGTATAGAATGTAACCATTTATATAACAAAAGAAATGTGATGCTGTGTACACACACATAAACATATTAGTCAGAGAATTTCTGGACAAGTATGACAAGAAGCTGTTATAATTAGAAGTCATATGATAATTTGAGTAGAGAAGGTTTAACACATGAACGATTATTTACTGGTAATTTACCCGGCAAGATAAAGTAACTCTAAAGAATACTACAGGGCTGACCAAGAGCCTACAGAAGAGCAAACCCTGAAGGGAGTGCTCCTGGAGGCTGGATCCGACTCCGGGGACAGAGCACAGCCCTGGCTGGTGAAGAAGCTCGCTGGGCTGCCCGAGGTCAGAGCAGGTCCACGCCTGAGAAGCTGGGTGCCACAGGCCAGAGCTGGGGGACCGGAAGTTCCCTTACCGGGGAGCCCACAAGCTGAGGCTGGCAGGAAAGACAATTTTCTGGGGATGCTGACAAAATTCACGGAGAACTGCGCATAGGTGGTGCTGCTGAACTTGACAGGAAACTGGCTGGGGCCCCAGCTGGACGCCGTCACCGACCCTCGCAGGCAAACCAGCGGAGGCCTCCAGGGAACCTTGGGGGCGCCCTGTCCGCGGTTCTCCTGCAAACTACCCAGCCTCACAGCAGCAAGAAGAGAACGTTTACCAGAACCGGGAAGAGAATTCTTATTCCTGCGGAGCCCTCTACTGCCCTCGACTGGCAAAACCTAGTGTGTCATCCGGCAAAGGAAAAATTATCCCAGCAGAGAAATGAAGGGAGGATTTGGCGTTGAAAAGCAATAAATTCATAAATGCCCCAGCTAATAACAGTTGTATCCGGGAATAAACACTGGTTGATGAAGTTCAGATGTGAGGGAGAAACTTGTTGCTGTAAGTCTTTAATGTTTGATTTGAGGGAAGGTCATTGGGAAAATTCTTTAATGCACTTTTCTTAGGCTGTTTTGTGTTACTGTAACAGAAGAGCATAGACTGAGCAATTTATAAAGACAGTAAATGCATATGGGTCATGGTTCTGCAGGCTGGGAAGTCCAAGAGCAAGGTGCTGGCATCTTCTTGGCATCTGGTGATCGCTGTGACGTCAGTGGCAGAAGGCGGAAGAGCAGAACAGCAGCGCGCATGCATGAGCCAGAGAGAATCAAACACAAATACTCACGCCCTTTTACAACCAGCATTAATCCCCCCGCTGAGGGGGAGCCCTCCAGGCCGAAACACCTCCCAGGAGTACCTTCCTCCTGACGCTTTTGTATTGGGCATTAAGTTTCCAGCACATCCTTTGGAGGGACGTAAACTGTCAGAGCATTATACTGAGCATGTTATAAAATAACAGATGAAATTAAAGAAGAAATTAAATAATACTTGCAATCAAATGAAAATGTAGATACAACTTAGCAGAACCTGTGCGAGGCAATGAAAGTAGTCCTCAGAGGGAAATTTATAGCAGCGAATTCTCACATCAGGAAAACAATCTTATGCTGCAGTCAAGCTTCTAGAAACAGAAGAGCACGTCAAACCCAAAGCCCAAAGAAGGCAGGAAATTGTAAAGATCAGAGCAAAAATTAATGCAGTTGAAACTAAGAAAATAATACCAACAATTAATGAATCAAAGAGTTGGTTCTTTGAATAAATAAATAAAATTGATAAATGCCTAGCCAACCTTATTAAAATAAGGAAAGAAAAACCTCAAATTCATACAATAAGGAATGCAAAGGGTGAAACCACTACAGATCCTATAGAAATTCAGAAGATCATCAGTATCTACTTCAAAAATCTTTACTCTCACAGGATGGAAAACAGAAGAAATGGACAGATTCTTAGATACATAAGAATCAGCAAAGGTGAATCAACAAGATATAAAAATTCTGAATAGCCTAGTATCAGTCAATGAAATTGAAAACATAATAAAGAAAACTTACCAACATTCTCTTGTCAATAATTTCCAATTTCATTGCACTATGGTCCAATAATATACATAGGATAATTTCAATTCCTTTGCATTTACTTCAGCATGTTCTATGGTCTAGTATATGGTCTATTTTAGAGAATAGCTCATGTGCAGCTCAGAAGAATGTGCATTCTGATGTTGTTGAGTAGAACACTCTGTAAAGGTCTCATAAGTCCATTTGTGCACAAGTTTGGTTCAGTGACACTTTTTCTTTGCTGATTTTTTGTCTAGTTTATCTATTTCTTTGTGACAATGGGGTGTTAAAGTCCCCTGTAATTATGTTATTGCTTATTTGATTTTTCATGTCTGTTAAAATTTGTCTTATATAGTTGGATGCTCCTGAATTTGGTGCATATATATTTATGATTGTTATCTCTTCTTCTTGAAATTTTCCCCTATCAAGTATGTAGTGACCTTCTTTATCTTTTTAAATCATTCTTGGTTTGAAGTTTACATTGTCTGCAAACAGAATAGCTACCCCTGTTTTTTTCTGGGCTCCTGTCACATATGAGTACTGTTTTCTATCCTTTGACTTTCAATCTATGAATTTCCTTTTGAGTTAAATGTGCTTCTCATATACAGCATATTGTTGGATTTTGTTTCTTAATCTACTCTGTCAGTCTGTTTCTTTTGATTGGCCAATTGTAGACATTTACATTAATGTTGACTCTCTTTAGGGCTAAGTTGAGTAATGTGATTAAAGCACTGTGTGCATTATTTCAAACAATCATTGTGAGAAGCTGTCCAAAGCTGTCTTTCTGCTCTTGGGTGAAGAATGGCAATGTTGGCAACACTCCTACAACTGTGCCGTTGTAAGACTCTATGCTGATTTGATAGCTGTACAGATGAGCCAGATATAAACCTTTCATTTTCTAAATCCTTGGTATTTTGATGCTGTTTCTTATGGAAACATAATCAATCTTATTTTTACTGATATTCCTAGCTATTGTTAAATAGTGTAATGTCATTTTTAAAATTCCAAGAGAGATACATACTTATCCTCATAAAGAAATACAATAATCCCTGTTTATCCTTCAAATAGATTCATCAGTTGTTTGTATTTTGCTTTTTTCTTTGTTTCTCACAAGTTTTATTCACTGAACCATTTGAAAGAAAATTGCAGACAACATGAAACTCCACCAGAAACACTTCAATAGGCACCTTTCATGACCAACAACACTTTCCATATGATCACACAGAAAATCCTCCTTCCTGAAAGCATTACTGTATTTACTTTTTTTCTTTACAATATACATAAAATCCCTTTAGTATTTTAATTCTAATATTACTATTAATCATAAATCTAAGAAGCTTAGATTTGGGCTAGTCTTTTTTTTTTTTCTTTAGAATAGAGTGCACATCGGGCTGGGGATTTAGCTCAGCGGCAAAGCGCCTGCCTGGCAAGCGCAAGGTCGTGAGTTCAGTTCCTGGTACCGGAGAAAAACAACAACAACAAAAAAGATAGAATAGAGTGCACAGAGGACAAACATTGTCTTTGGTATAAAAAAAAGAGTAGTTCCAGGTGGAGGATGAAACTCAGAGGTAGAGGCTGCGTTTTGCATTCATGAGGGCCTGGGTTTGATCCCCAGCATGGAAAGCAACAGTGACAACAACAGCAAATGTAGTTCAAGTAGCTTTTGAACATAGTAGCCCGGTGGTACATTCTTGGTGAGGTAAGGACAAAAGGAACTAACTGCAAAGAAATCTTGATAATAATTTGACGCTGCCAGGCGTGGTGGAACATGTCTGTAATCCCAGAACTCAAGAGGCTGAGGCAGGAGGATTGCTGCAAATTTGAGGCCAGCCTGGGCTAGTGAGTTCAAGGCCAGCCTGAAATGCATAGTGAAACCCTGTCTCCAAAACACCAAAAAAAAAAAAAAAAGATTTGATGTGAACATACCTTTCTTTTTGTCTTCAACAATGATTTTAGAAATCTTTTTATTACAGATTTTTAATAAATTCTTTTTACTTTGTTCAAAAGTCAGAACAGAACAATATAAAAAGTATATTCACAAAAAATGCCAGTCCTATCCTTGCCTCCCACTCCATTACCACCTTCCTCCATGAGTAAACATTTTCATTAATCTCTGTGTTACCGTTTCTGTGTTTCTTTTTCTTGGGTGGGGGAGAAATAAGCAAATATGTGCACATTTGCCACATTTTCTTATTTCCTCTTGTTTTTTTATACAGTGTGCCATCTGCGCCTAATGTTTTTCATTTAACAATATATTCTGGGAATCACTTCTTATCAGTTTATATAAATCTTTCTTTCTTCTTCCTTTTGTTATGTCTGCATGATCCATCATGTAGCTATACCACAGTTTGATTATTAGGGGTTGTTTAAGTTATTTCCAATATTTTGCTGTTACAAGTAAAATCATAATGAAAAGCTTTGTGCATGTGCTTTTTCATATATATGGAGGTAGATTTTCAATGTAATTTTCTAGAAGTGGTTTTGCTGGATCAAAAGGTAAATAAGGTGATCATTGTTGTTAGATATTGCCCAGTTCCCTGACCCGGCAGGGGTTGTGCCATTTTTGCATTTTGGTGGACACTGTAAGACAGTTATTGCTTCCTCCACAGGCTTGCCAACAGAGGGGGCTATCAAGCTTTTGAACTAGTGTCAATCTGATGGATGCAAAATGATATCTGTGTGGCTTTTATTTGCATTTCTTTTTATATATATTATGATACATAATAAGTGCATTTATCATGGGGGACTGGTATATACATATTGCACATTCATGCTCTTTACTTCCTTTTCCCCTCCTTTCCCGTCTCCACAGTCTACACCACCCTGAACACACCTGACCCAGTCTGCTCTCAGACGCATTTCTTGTATTATGAGCAAAACTGAATACAGTTCTACATGTTTAAGGGCGTTTGTAAATCTCTTCTGTAAATTGTTTCTGTCCATCTTTCTCTGTCATGTGATTTTAGATTTCATTCCATTTTTATTTTTGGCTACTCTTTACATACTAAAGAGATTTATTCTTTGTAATAAAAGTTGCAAATATTCTCACAAGCTTTCTTTTGCCTTTGATTTTGCTTATGATGTATAATACCTTGCAGAAAAAACACCTTATTTTATATTGTCAAATTTATCAAGATTTTCTATTGTTGCTTCAGGATGTTGCTTTATTGTTTTAAAAATTCTCTTTAAACCCATGCATAAAGAATTAATTTATGTTTTCTTTTAGTACTTTTATGTCTATGATTTTTTTAAAAACTTAAACATAATTAAAAATAAATAAAAAAACTTAATCTTTTCCTAGTGATTATCTTTTTTTTTTGAACTGGGACTCAAACTCAGGACCTCATGCTTGCCAGGCAGGCACTTGTGCTGCTGAGCTATATCCCCGGCCCTCTAGTGATCATCTTTATCATTTACTACACTTCATAGCAAAAATAAAATCAGCCCAAGTAAGAAAATTTTAAACTTTATTATGCATACAAAAGAACAGTTTGTCAGCCAGGAGACTTTGAATAGTAAGAATCTCACAAAGAAGCAGAGGAGGAAATATTTTGACCTTTTTTGTGATTGACCTATATATACATGTATACAAGAATATATGTATATTCTTTTTAGGGTAAGTAGAGCAGTGTAAACTGATTTATCTATATTTGATTAGTTTAATCTCACTGAATCAGGTCAATAAGGACATAAAAG